TCACTCGGAGCTTGTGCTATCCTGCTTTCGCGCAGTCAGGCACATCCACGATGATGCGCACCGCGAGCAAATATAATCCTGCGCGCGCGCCAAGAGAGGAGCTCGAGCGAAGCTGCTGCGTCATCATCATCATCATCATCGTACTTGGAAAACCACGTCCGTCGGAGACGTGAGCTCGCACGCGCGGATATGCAATGGAACGCGCACACGTGGCCGCGACGAATCCCATTTCGCGCTCTGACGGAGGGATGCGCAATTTGGTCGGCGAGGGGGAGGGGGAGCGCCGGCGCAAAATCGCATTATACGTTGGCCCCGTAAACAAGGCCTACGCGCCTAATGCGGTTGTGCTCGCGCATCGCGGGCTGAAGCTTCTGACGCGTGAGCGCGCCAAGGATGCGCGCATGTATGTATCTCCGACGCTTTTCACAGTTTTCCAGCGCGCCGCGTGCTTTGCTTTCGCGCGTTTCCTTCGCTGCCAGCAAATTCGATGGGGGAAATGGAAGATGAGCTGCTCGCAACGAAAACAGTCGGATGCTCGTTCGGACGAAGGCTTTCAACGAGCGAGCAAAGACGTACGGCAAAGTCAACGGAGAATAGCGACATTGAGCGGAAAGCTGTAAGATGAGCTATCCGACCGGCTGGAGAACGCTGAGCCGGCGCTAAAAATAATCGCTTGTGCGCGCGCAATTATCCACGGTTGTGGTTGATCGGCGGTCATTCATTGTGAAATAGGCTCTTCTCTTGTGCCCGTATCGCGAGCGCCGGGCGAAAAGTCAGATTGAAGAATTACACGCGCGACCGACGTGGGAGAGCTGTGCGCGAGCTTGTACACCTTGGGACAGACTTTTCGCGCTTTTCAGAGTTTTTTCCTTTTTTTCTTTCCACCGCCAATTTCGGAAAAGAAAGCCGGCACGACTCCAGATAATTACGGAAAGATACGCGAAAGGAGACCCGCTTCTTTCGACGAAAGGCAAGAAAAACGTGAAAATGACATGTTTAAAAATTTTAATGGCAAGAAAATGGTTTTGCGCAAGCTCTTACACACAGACCGGAAGCAAGAGAAAAAGAGTACATAACAACCCACGTATCTCGGATAAGCAAAACCGCCTTGTAGTCGAAATTGGAAATTTCAAATTAAAAGAGATTCAAGACGCGAGCGAATTAATCACCGGGAGATTTGAATTTAATGAAACTGTTACGCAACGTTCGAGAGCGCAAGAAAGAGGCTAAAAGGAAACCAAAAGTCTGTGGTACACGCATACGAGATTTCTCTTTGAAAAACCGCAGACCATCGAGACGCTTTTATATTATGTAAATCCAGCTCTGATATATGCGGTTTTTTTTCGCGCGGACAAGAAAGACGGAGATATATAACGTGTGTATCGATAGGTGAGACTTTTTAACGACTCTCGTTTTTCTTTTTTTTTATTATTACTGTTCTTTTTTTCGTTCGCGGAAAAAGGCTGGAGTTACATGTATATATGCATGTATACGTCGGACACGAAAGAGCCGATCGTTAACTGAAAAATCCGCGCGCCGTTTCGGGGCAAAAGCCAGGCTCTCGCTCTCTGTGATTATCCGTGATTTCAAACACTAGGCTTTGTTATATGCACATAGATTGCGAAATATCGCAGGCTCCCTGCGCACTTTCTAAAACTCGACTGTTACACGAGGGGGAATTTCAGCCGGCTTTTACATTCAATTTTTCGGGCAAGAATTACAAGGTGTCGCAAATTGCAGGGAGGCGGGGAGCTATAGGAAAAATCCGCGTGGATTTTGTTGCTCCGCAGGTGCTACTTTTATAAGCGCGCGGTAACGCCGAGCTGATTGTTATTAATTAGCTGCTCATTCGTTATTCCATTTCCTGCTCGCATTGACTTCGCGGCGCACGTAGCCGGGTAGAAACGTTGGTTTGATGCGCGTTCGCCGCGAGCCGCCTCATTTGCATCATTAACGATTCTAAGCCAACCAACAATTACCGCGCGGAGTGCACACCGAATGCCGCTCGCGCTCGCTGATTGTTTTGCACGGCTCTCGGCCGTTACGACTTGGTATACGGTTATGCGAATCCGTATCATTCTCGCGCGTGGAGAACAAGAGAGAAAGAGAGAGAGAGAGAGAGAGAGAGAGAGAGAGGGAGGGGGGACACTGGCAGCCCCGACGTGATATCAATTGCGAATCAATGCGCGCGGCGCATAAGAAGCGAATCCTCGCGCCAAACAGCAGTGGCAATCAGACGGCATGAATCAGCTGAACTTTATCGGACTGAACCCATCCAAGGTAACATCCTCGTTTTCTCCACTTTTCAACTGCGGCTGCAGTTTGGTTTATATAGATACATCAGATTGAACTTTACAAAAGCGCAACTAACCCCCCCCCCCCCGCGAGTGCATCGCGCATACCGTTACATCTCTCTCTGCGTTTGTCTTCTCGCGTTTACAGTGGTAGCAGCGAGGTATTCCACACAAACAACTCATATCGCGGTTGCGTTGTAACGAGTGCGGGCTGCCCGTTACGTCGAGCCGTTCGCTCGGATTTGTTTATGGGCCTTCCCGCGAGACGGCAGAAGCCCACGAGAGATTGCACTACTGCACAGTGGTGCGGATATTCTAATTTCCTTTCTTCCGTTTTAATTGCCAAGAAATGCAGACGTCGAGTATTCCGTTGATCTTCGCACTGGAAGTGTATAAGGTCAGTAAATGAGAACCAAGTCATTTTTAGAATCGTAAAGGCATGGTCGCACGACCTCTTTCTCTCTATCCGTCTGTCGCGTGATTAACCCGCGGAAACGTGCCACCGACTGTTTTATGCATGATTAATGAATTGAGGTCTGCGCGAGCTTTTCGGATTATCGATCCGAGCCCCGAGCAAACGCGTAATAATTGACGAGGACGCGGCGGACGAGCTGACAAGATTCCGCGCCACTTTCGTGCGAGGCATTATTCAAGAGCGTCCGTCGAGATCACGCGCAAGGTTGACGATTAAACAGTCAGGCGATGCTTGGATATGCGCAAGAGTGCTTGTCCGATCGACAGAAGAGCCGTTGGCGCGTCATGCGATCGTTGCGAAATAACGAAAAAAGCAGGCGCGGGCATAGACGAGCGTCGCGCGGATACGTGCAACGGTCAAGGTTGCGCGGCCGCTCCGAAAGAGAAAGCGCGGCGCCGCTTGTGTCGTGCGCGCTTTTCGACGACGAGGCGCGATCCGATCAGCTGTTCGCCAGTGCGTGCACGCGTTGCGCCGTCGACTTACCGTTGCTCGGATTTGGCTCCGGTGCACGGAAAAGAGTCGAAACTTGCAGTCCGTCCAAACAAGCAACGAAAGCACACTCCGAGTCGGGAGGCGGATAAGTCCGAGCAGGTACGTGCAGGAGGGAAAGCCTCATCGGCGTCGCGTGTCGTGGAGCGAAGAAGCCTCGTCTGACCGTCGCGGCGATCAGCGAGAAAACGAAAGACGCGCGCGAACAATGGCGCCGTTGTATCCGAGTCGCGCGTCAGGACCGCGCTCGAAAAACGCGTCTCGCTTTCGGCGTTCGGCTGATTATGCGAACGCGCGCACTCGCACGTTTCCTTCGCTGCGCGGCAGTCGCGTTACAACGCCGACGAAGCCGCGCGGAGAAATAAACAAGGGACGCCCCGCGCGACGCCCGGCTAACATAATTAACCGGGCGATTATTCACGCACTACCCTCTGCTACGAGAAACAAGTATAAACGAGCGCTGAAAATTACATCGCTTTTATAATCGCAAAGTCATTGCACGCGCCGACGACATTTTCATTATTAGCCGCTGATTTATCGTTGATGGCGGAGCGCGCGACCTTGAACGCGCTTTTTGCTTTTCGATGTCCGCCGAGAGAGAGAGAGAGAGAGAAAGAGAGAGAGAGAGAGAGAGAGAGTGAGAGCCGCACTGCTGCTGCGCACTGATTAAAATCGCCAAAGGAGTGCATCGCGCGTAACGAGACGTGTAATTCAATTTCGACGTCGCTGGCTTTTCTTCTTCTCTGCTGCTTTATTTTCAAGACATAGAGAGAGGGAGGGAGAGCGTTGCATCTTACGAGCGTGAAATGACTTACGGTTTCGCGGGCACATTGTTATCATTTCATTAGTTTGAAGAAGCAATCCTATTATATCCGCAAAAGGGCTTAGCAGTCGCGCGCAAAAAAGCATTTCGCGCTCAGTCACTTCCAGTCCAATCGTTTGACGAGAGATTAATCAAAACACGCGTGCCCGAAGCGGACAAGCTAGGGACAAGCGCTGTTTGTAATATCGGCCGCGGTGAATTCATCTTTGTGATGGGTTTTGCGCGCGCGCGCAGTTGTGACAGGTCGGCGACGCATTGCCCAGCAAGAGTTCCCGATCAATCGCGACTGATCCGGCAGAACGGAGCCAACGATCCTTGCGATCTATTGAACCACATTGCCGATCAGAGGCTTGGCGCGAGCAGCAGTGTTGACGGATGGCGCTGCGGCCGTATTACCCGCGGTGCATGGTATCCTTAAGGACGTATGAAATTGACGATAAATCACGCCCGAGGCAACCTTATCGCAACTAGGATAACAAAAGTGGCCAGAGGGACAATGCGCTCGAGAACGCGCCAGCGGCTGGTGTGCCTTTCTATTCCGCGAAATGTCAAGGTTAGCCTGTCGCGCGCTCCTTGAGAATACATTATGCTCACACTTTGGCCTGTCTCGACAACTTTTTCCCTCGAGCATGTCGTGCCTTTATCGGGCCGCGCTTTTTTCTTCCGCGCCGTGTCACGACAGCACGCTGGCCCCGATAAGATTTGGTCACGTGAGCTCGGATCGGCAATTAATGATTGTGCGCGTGACATATGATAAACGCGCGAGCTTTCCACTTCGTACGCGCGGAACACGAGGTTAGGCGGGACACACGATAACGGATAGCGATGGATTCGAGCGGATATGTTATGAAGAAACGCAAAGCCGCGTTTAGATTGATGATTTGCCATTGTAATCGGCTGTTGTCCGCTTGTGTTGCAGATCTGGCAAGGGATGCACAGCACGCAGCCGCTGGTCATTTGCAAGAGAAACTTGAGCTTGCAAGCGAAGAAGAGTCTTGGCGGATCGTATGCGAGAAGGAGGCCGAAACCTCTGTCCTCGGAGGTATACATAATTCTTGATTAAATTTGCTCGGGTAAGAAAACTAAAGCCTTCAATTAGAAAAACGATCAACGCGTGCCGGTCGAGATACCAGCTCAAGCCAAATAACTAATCGCGGGTTAACGGATCTCATAAGGTGTCCGCTACTGAAACATGCCTATGACGATGATGGCCGTGTGCTATTGTGACGAGAGAGGCTTGGCTCGTTAGATTCTCGACGTTCAATCGGTGTGATCGGAGAACAATCACTCGACCTTTCTTTCTTCTTTTGACTTCTGCCTCTGGTGGTGATTGGATCGCTTCTCCACGCCTATGTTACGTATTTATATGTAACGCATCTTTTCATAGGCGATACAGTGCTTTTATATGATTCGTCAAGATTTTATCGTTTGCTCGACCGCGTTTTCTTGACCAACTGGAATCTTTCAAGTAGTTTGCTTTCAGCAAAACTGTTCCTCTTCGCGAGAAGAACATCCGAAAATTGAAACGTACAGTCACAATTGAAATGGACAGTTGTCAGTCCGTCAGCTTTATGAGCAGTAAATCAGCGCCTCTCGGGCGACAATAACTCACGCCGCCACGACAACGATGATGGAAGCGAAAATGTAATATAATTGACGTTGCGGCCGGTGCAAGCACACCTGTCGCGCGCGTGCGGCGTCGGCAAGCGATGCGCGCCCGTGGAATGCACACGCGAGTCAAGTAACATCGCATCGACGATTGATTTTGGCGAACGCGCGGGGGATCACGGTAAATTGATCAGCGCTCGATTATGCATACTGAGCGCCGACCGGAAGACTCGCTTGGCTTTTAAGCTGACGGTCCTCGACTCGGACTCTCGTGATGAAACGATTGCGCGTGTGTGCAACAGGTACTAACGTGCTACCTGAAGCAAGAGCACGAGCCGCCATGGACGTCGTATTTCGTGCGCTACGCGGACGTGCAGAACGATCAACGTGGCATGTCGCACTTCAATTGGCCCGTAGGCACGAGCAACTACCACGTATTAAGGACCGGCTGTTGGCCCTACATCAAGTATCACTGTAGTCGTAGACCCAAGCAGGACCTCACTTTCGACGACACGTTTTTCAAAGCCATTAAGCTCATCAATCTCGGTAAGGACGTTTTAAGATATAACGATTGCAGGGCTCCACGGTGCACTTTCGCAAGATGCTGCAGACTCTTCCACTTTTTCTCGTGATAATAAGTTTTTTCGCGACACTTGTGGATATTCACGAAAATCGTAACGAATAACGTTAATGAGATACCCATAATGATAATGGTTAATTTCGCTGGAGAGATTTCGCATTGACGCAACGAGGCACGGTGCAAAGTCTGAATGAGAACCGGCCCTTATAGTCGATACATTCACATCCGTTACCTCTTCTGCCTTTTCTTTTTTCCGTGACTTTTACTCTCGCGAGTATGGGCTCTCTCCTTCCCGATAAATCTTCGACTCAATGGAAGCTAAACTTAGAGCGCGCGGATTCTCCACTCTATGAGAATGTCCATTCGTTTTCCCCTCGGATTCCGCATTGCGACACTCGATCATCGCTCGCGTGCGTTCGGAACGTTCCCCTGCGAAATAATGCTCGTGTGCGTTTCTTACGCACTAGGAAGCTATTAGTCGACGATCGGAAAAATTTCATTTTTCTCGGTTTGGGAGAAACGATCTCTCTGGAACAACCATGTTATTCTTGGGGTTTTTAATACGCTCGGATAGCTGCTCGTCGGGTATTTCGAAAGATGAAATTGTATAATAATGCATGAATAAGTAAGTACGCACGGGTGTACCTCTTCGTACTTTCTTCAATCCCAGATACAAAACTTTCCATGTGTACACGCGGAGATGTAGCGGCCAAAGAAAACAAAACAAAATTGGAATTGCTAAGAATATTTAAACGACCATTATAATCGATGCCGATTTCACCTTGTTACTTATTTTCCCTTCTGCTTGCAGGAATACCAACTCTGATGTACGGCTTGGCAGCGACGCAGCTTATTCGGCATTCGGAGCTTGTCAAAACGCCACACGGCGACGTGACTATTTTCTTTCTGCTGCCCGAGGACAAGGGATCGCAGCACTGAAGCACCAAGCTGGACGCGTTCCCCGCGTAAATAGCGTGTCCTTTAACAGAGGCGCAGAGAGAAAGCTACGTGCTGTCTAATCGATTCTCGAAACTCCGAGAAAACTGCATCCGCAGTGCCAAGCTCGAGTTGTACGTGCGCGCGCGATACATCCACGTCGCGCGTGGTGTAAATCAAGCGCGGACAAACCTGTACATAATTAGCCGTAATAAATACAGCCGCTATCGCCGTAAATTAGCGTACCTTAGCGCCCAGCTGAACTTTCGCTTATTTACAGTTGGCCGAACCCTCGTCGCCTCCTACTTGCTGTCCGTTCGGAAATAATCGCAAATAAAGACCGACTCGGGCAATTAAACTAGCCTCGCGACGAACGAAAGCTCGATTCTAATTAGTCGAGGCGCGCGCGCGCGCGCACCGCCGACGAGAGGACGAGCGTCGGCGCCGCTCGAGCTCGCCGCGCTCCAAGAAGAGAGCGTCGCTGCCGAGGTGCGAAAATCGCAGCGTATTCAGAGACGAACACGCGGTACGTACGGCAGCGTAACGCTCTGCACCGAGATGTGGCCGCACTATCACGCCTCTCGCGCGCGCGCGCCCATAAAAATACCTCGGCGCGTACGCCGTGCAGCGGGTAATCGGGGGCGCCTGGAATTCGCCTCTCGCCATCTCGAGAGCAGAGACAAAGGAACAATCGCGACCCCGAGCTCTTTTTATCCATCGCTCTCTCTCTCTCTCTCTCTCTCTCTCGCTCCGTCTCTCGTAGACTAGGTGTGTTCGCGCCCGGCTATTTTTTCTGTCGTTTGCGCGTCGTCGTACGTATGAGTAATGGACCGCGATGCCTTCTCGCTATGTTAAATCAGGGACACGAAACGTCAAGCTCGCGACGAATTTACGATTGGCCGTAAACAAACAATATGCTGTCCCCGATACGCGTGTCGTTTGACGCAGCTTTCACCTGCTCGTCGAGAATTAATAAAAAAATTGACGCTTCGTCGGTTGTTTTTCTTGTACTCCTCGTGGGGTCGAAACATTTCGTGGTTCTATTTCATCGTTAGCACTGTATATTAGAAAGTTTGAAAGGCAGCAGACGCAAAAAGCCATTTAAAACAGGTTATTTACGATACGTAGACGATGATTAAAAGTTGCCGAGTGCGGCTGGCTTGCGGAGTCTTTATCGAGGCTCAAACTCAATTTCATTATCTACGATTCGCAAGTGTGCAAGCTGAGTAACATGCAGAAATTCGATTAGATACTATCGAGAACTTGACTTTTCAAAGATGAGCAAAAAATTTAATTCCGCAAATGTCCAGCAGTCGTAAAACACAGGCACAGCGAGGGGTGGAGGACGATTTAAATGCATCTCGAGCACGCGAGTTGAATGAAGATCGCCGGTATTTATGCCTCGCGCGCCAAGTGAAAGAGAGAGGTAATAGCCCCCAAGTCCTTCTACGACGATGCACTTTAATGCAGCTGTAAACGCGGCGACGACAGAAGCTATTATTACGAGCGCGACGCGAATGATGCTTATTTATAATGCATCTGTTCGAGATGAAAACGGAGCAGACCGAAGCCTTCGCTTGTCTGTTATCCCACGAGCTATGAATAGATAAAACGAGAGAAATATCGAAATGTCTCGCAGCGAGGCCGACTGAGTCGATCCGTCGATGTATGTGCACTTCCGCGTTGTCATTTTCGCCCGCTCGAAGAAAAGTCTTTTGTTCGCGAGCGCCGCACGGGATAATTGGCGTCAGTCACGGCGGAATCGACAGGGAGATCAAAGCAAAGCAGTCAAAATAAAAAACGCAAAAAGGCCTCGGTCACAGAATCACTTTCACTTGGCCCGAGCCTTAGGCATTGTTTGCCACGACACACACCAGTTTGTAATCATTAGGGTAGTCGATGTCTGTATTGTGCTACACGGCGAACGATTGCCGACTCGATGGCCACTCACCCGTCCACAAAATACTGCCTTCGCTTCCTTCGTTCCATCCGTGTTCTTTATGATGATTCACCACACAGCATTAATTGTCTATTATCTCGCAGCCTTCTAATCGAGCGAGCATCGCGCATTATTATGCGAATCGCTTCACCGTTCGAACGGACGATCGCGCTGCTCCGAAGGCACGTATCGCGTGTCGCTTAGGCGCAGGTGAAAATCGAAAATGCGCGAAGCGAGGCAACTCGTAAATCATCCGAAAAGAGGAGCTCGCGTCTAAGGAGGCGAGCTTTCTCGTGACACGGCTACAGACGCGCTGCGTAACGCCATCGCTCATCGGCGCGGCCCAAGAAGGGAGATCGCTCTTTATCAGGCGTCGCACGCGCTTTCATTATGCGCCGGGCATAGGTGCTCGTGATGAGAATGTAACCGTGCGCGCGCCCGTACGCCCGACGCGAAAATTCGAACGACTCGCGCATCGGTGTCGTTGCACTCTCGACCGCGGTTCCTTTTTGTCCTTTGCATTTGTCGCTTGCCAGCGTTTCGACACCGCGAGGTTCGCTGAGCTTTCAAAAGCTAAAGTCCCATCGGCAGTTGATTTCGTAACGCGTCACGTCGGAAAAGAACGATTTTCTGGCGACATCCATTACAGCTGGGGATACCCAGTCTTCCGATTTGTCGCTGATAGACGTTAAAATGTCTTGAATTTGACACTTCATAGCTCATAGAGCATTGTGATTGTTTTCAAGTGCAACTTCAACGATTCACAACACAGTTGCAACTATGCCCAGGGACAGTATCAGCAACAGAGGACAGCGATATTCAATGTTGCGAATTGAAAGTGGCACGAGAAAAAGAAGAGCGACGTCATTTGGCGGAGCACTGGAGAGCAGGAAGGAACTGTCGTCGAACGCCTGTTATCTCGCTCGGCCAGGTACGAACGAACTCGCAACTCGACGCTGGAGGCGCGTCGATTAATTAAAAAGCGCGCGCTTTCCGTTCTCGCTCGTCTTTTTTTTATTAGAGAGACGACGACGGCCGCAGATTGCGCTGCATAGTAGCGACGCCGCGTGAGAAATGGTATTGCTACCTCTCGTCGTTTTATCGCGTCCCCATCCCGCGCGCTATTGCTTCTTACGCGGATGATCTACGATTTTTACCGGTTACAATACATCAACTTTAATTTCAGCGATGAAGTAAAGCAACGCCGCGCGCAAGTTTGGCTTCCAGACTGCAGGCATAATTGGCGTGAACGCTGTAAACAAGCTAGGGGTGAGCGTGATTGGCTACATGTAATTGTCGTCAATCAACTTGTGGCGCGAGATTATCATCGCAGCTACGGCCGATGCGATGCGATCATGCAGCTTGCTCAAAATGCTTTAAAGGCTAACCTAATGGCTTTTAGGAATTGACACGCGAAGATCATTCCGCAGCTTGACTACAAGACCATAGCGAAATTGCCGCTGCGTCACGGCCGTCGCCATCCGAGGAAGCTCACGGATGCGGAATGGTTTCGTTCGTCCGGAAAAGAAGCGCGAGCATGTATCTGCAATCCGAAAGCTTTGAAAAATACGAAGCCGAGTGACTCTGGAAGCGCGAGCTAAAAGCGTGTACCTGTTTTCTATCACGACGATCTGCGGGCAGCGTCGCGAAAGCAAAAAAGAAACAGGAACAGAATCGAGATAGAGAGACGTAGAACGAAAGCGCCGAGAGTCGACATTCGCAGGAGCGAGACACGTGCGCGCAAGGATGAATCGACTGGTTACGGGCTGGAATTATAAGCGCGGCCGTCGAATTTACAAATGAACGCGATTTAACATCCTTACGCTCGTTTTTCCGCAGTGCGGCATTCATTTCTCCGTCGCTCGCGTTGCACACCTCGCGCGCTCTTTAATAGCCTCACTTTGGCTTTATCGAGCCGATAAATATTCTCCGCGTCTTTTAATGCGTGGCAGCCGGCGGTTAGTCGATACTTTGACTTACCGATCAAATGAGAAATCGTCAAGCTCGTAGCGCGAAAGCTTATGCTTCGCTGCGCGAACTCACAGTTGGTCGTTGTTGCGTAATGCCGAACCAAATTGAGGAAGCTCCTCGCAGCAGGCACGGGCTCGCGACCAAACCCCGATAACGATGCAGACGCCTCCTATCCCCGTAAGAAGCGGCGTCGATAAACGCCGATCGCCGATAGCAATTGTCAAGGGCAGCGGCGACGTACCGTCCGAGCTGTGCACAGCTCGATTAGACGATGCGCGCGCGATTGACGCGCGTAATCGATGGCTACCGGCCGACAAGACATCTCGCCTGACAGAGAGCCCGCGTGGATTTTAATAAACGCAAGCCACGTCGGCGTACGCGGCGCGCACCTCCGCTCGGCGACTCTTAATTAGCGACGCCTTGCAGGCGTCGATAATGCGTATGAGCGCGCCTAGCGCCAACTGCGATCGACGCGAGATCGAGTCGCGCGGCTGTTAGCTCGGCCGCCGCCGCCGCCGCCGCCGCGCCGCTGCTGCAGGCTTTGTCGTCTCGAGCGCGCCCGTGTCATGCAGACAATATAAAAAGGCAGAAAGGGGTGGGGGCGGGGGGGATGCAGCTGTGAAGGACCCGCACCCTTAACGACGCTCGCGATTGCCTATCTGCGGCACGTGGACTTTTACGGGGCCACACTTATAAACACCTGTATTCCTCTCTTTGGCACGCCTCTTAACACATTCTCGCACGGACGACGATGCGCCTGTGCGCGCCGTTGTCTTGCCCGGGAGTATGATGTATCGGGCAACTTGCCAAGACTTTCTTTTTTCCCTCCTCTCCTTTTGGTAGTACGCCATTTATTTTCCGATGGCGATGAGACGTTTAATTATTGTGCCAAGGCAAAATGAGGAGCTTGAAAAAGTACCTTCCGGACATTGGGCCGGTAGAAATTGTTTCGCCGTCTCTCGGACGTCGGATTATTTATTATTTCGCGTACGAGAAATCTGCCCGGCGAGCGACGCTTCGGAGGACTGCGTTCAACTTGTAGTGAGCGTATCTCAGAGCCAACGCGGACAATGGCTCTCTTAACACCTCTTAATGCCGAGCGGCGTATATCGGAAAAGGAGAGCGACGAGATAAGCGCAACGCGTGTCACGCAAGCGTTTACGATTGCTCTCGCTATCGGTCTCGTAATTTCCGCGCGCGACGACCATTTTTCTCGCCTCGCGGAAATTCATTGAGAGCACCGAGCCAAGCTCGAAAGAGCCAAGAGCCGAGGTCTCGTCGAAGCCACCACTGCGCGCCGAAAAATTCTGATCGAAGGGGCGAATGAGCGCACAGCTGCCGCGCCAGTCCATTTGACCTTGATAACTTAATCGGCCAGCCCGAGAGTAGGAGCGTAGTGCTCATTTAGCGAAAGAAAGAAAACATTACGAGCGAATGATGAACGAAGGCACTTGGCAAATATACAAACGTACATACGCGCACGGTGATTCATACGAACTGGCGCGGCAGCGCCTTGGGCGCACTCGCATCGTTTGAATTATACACACAGACTCTGTATTTATAGCCTCTTGGCGATTAAGTTGTAAATGCATTCTTAATCAGAGCTCGATTATTTGCTCTTCGCGAATCGCCGGCGTTCGTACGACTTCTTACCAGCGAAATTTGGATCTCGCGTTCGGGCAAAGCGGCGATCAGGCGAGTCGGTCGAGGCGCCCCCGTTCGCTCGATTGCAACCTAGTCGTAGGTCGAGTGATTCTTATGAGCCAGATGCATCGGATTCAGATGTCGTCGTGGGAGAAGAGATTTCATCGGAAAAGACGGACGATAAATTAAGGCGACGCGACAGCCTAAGACTATCGAGGCGCGCGAACTTTGAACTCGAGCCGTAGGAAAGAAATGGCATATACCGTTCTCGCTCGGCGCGACGGTGGCATGCAAACGCGCAGAGAGGCGCGCGGATGTAATAAGTTATCAAAAGAGCTCTCGCTGGATACGATTACAAGGGATGTATGTGTAAGCGTGCGCGCGGCGGCGTTGCGGCCAATCCGACCTGTCAGGCCGTTGAAAATATATGCGCTTCGCGTATGCATGGCTTTTGCATCATAGCGCGCATGATGCATTCCGCGTGCGCGATCGCGATGCCGGTCGCCGCGGCAATATTGTTCGTTAGCGCGCTTGTTTACCGTGGATTCGAGCGCGTCCACGCGGCAAATTCAGAGTTGCGTTCGACTATTTCCGAACGCAACGGGCCCCCCAGCCCACTCTCGTTCGAATTCGAGAGACGCGCGTGGAACGCCGTCCATCTATCAATTCCCGATCGAGAACAAAGGCCTGACGCTTTCCTTCGCCTGCTGAAGCGCGTTACACGAATGTTCAACGCGACCGCCGTGGAGAAACCAACAGCAGGCCCTCTCGTCGCTCTGTGGCTGGGCTTATCGCCGAGGCGAAAGAACAGGAGACACGCCGGGCGTTAATAATAGGCTCCTCCACGCATGTCACGAGGCCTTACAGCAGTCTCATTCTTTGTCGTACACATCGTCACGGTTGAAGCTCGTCTAATCGGATCTGCCGTGCGCCCAAGCGAACTTATCGAGCAACGTGGCTGCCGCGGCACGTTGAGACGGACAGCGATCCGACACTTGCCAAGCGTGCAGCCGCCGTTAACGTGTACAACTCTGTGCGCTTATCCTCCGCAAAACGAATTAAATTCGTCATTGAATTCTAGCTGAAGCATCGTTATCCTCTATGGACAGACTGAGAGACGGAGAACGGCGTCGCAAAAATGGCACTCACGAGTGCTGCCGGAGGGACGGCTCGTACGCTCGCCAATATTTCGAGCTCTCCGCGCGCGGCTACAATGCGATTCGCGACTGCACGGCTAATTGCGATCCCGCGTTGACGCCTCGCTGCCGCGACTGATTATTATTCGGCGCGCGCTCGTTGCTCTCGCATGCGATATTCGCGCGTGCAACGATCGTGGGACGCTTTGGTTTTTCGCGGGCGGACCGCGCGGCTGCCTGAACGCACGAGCTCGAAATTTCAGCGAGGCAAGACGCGAGCGGATGCAGGCGGTCGCGGTGCGAGCAGCTCTGATAAAAGCCCATCGCGATGCTAATAATCCATAAATCGAACGCGCATACTTGCGCGCTTTGTCGGCCGCGCAGTACACGCGTGTGCATCATGCGGATGTTCGCCCCTTTTCCGCGCGCGCGAGAAAGAGAGATCGGCGATAAGTCGAGTTGCGTGCCACGTGTAGAGCCGCGCCGCGTGTATAGAAGTAAAACGCGCGCACAGGAAGCTGCGTCGTTTGCGATTTTTTCCAGGCTACTGGTTTCATTCGCACACAACGCGAGAAAGCCTCTCTCTTTCTCTCTCCCTCTGCGTTGCGCGGCTCGTTGTTTCTAATGGATTTTTTTAGCGCGCATCCAATTCACAGGAGATGCAGGCCGCGCCAAGCCAATTAGACTTTTCTAACGCGAAGTTGACCCGAGCGACTGCTGCTCTCCGAGGTGATTAGCAACTTATCGCGCTGAAGTCGTCAAAGCAGTTCCATCTGCGCAACGAAACTTGTAAATCTGTCAACGGAATTGAGCAACAAGCACTTTTTGCGCCCCTGACAGTAATTGGCTTTTCCAGGATGATTCGCGTACTCCAACCTATGAAAGTTCACTGCGACTAATTTCGTTATGACGCTTCGCTAACAAGCTGCGCTTAAATGTGCCGACGCAACACGCAAATTGGCTCTGTGACGCTACATTTTTTCTTATTGTTCAATTGTCATCGCCTTTTCAGGTAAGTTTCTTACCAGACTCGACTGCACTCCTTCCAAGTGGCATTCTACTCAAATTTTCCAATTATTCCTACGGCGAGTTTTTTTCCATAGAACGTCAAATATTCTATATGGAGTTCCAGCAAATTTTAGTCACTTATTCTACTTTACAAAGAGGACATTTCGAGACGCGTCTGACTCTATTAGCACGATTCTGCTCTAAATTTATCATCATGTAAATCTAATTATCCTTTTTAATGGCAATTGTTCCACGCGCATACTAATTTAATCGAAATTGAGGTTGAGCCAAGCTTGTAAATTGAATTTTTTTCATCAATATCTATCTTAATCTGAAATAAAGTTTCTTAATTCACGCTCACATTTCGTGGCTTACTTTAGTTTACTTTATTTGACTTTGGAATAGAAACCAGTCAACCTATCAAATTACTAAAACTAGACGCTTTCTCAATTGAAAGTACAAAGCTTTGTACACAGATTCGATGATAATAATTTTTCGCGTTGAAGTAACCAGGAGTCCCGAGAATATGTCGGAATTAATTATAATCTTAATGAGCGTGTTTCTCTGCCTGAATCGTAAACTAAATAATTATCTCTTTTCATACGGTACGAAAAAATTTTCACACTATTTTTGCGTACATACCCGGCTCTCGTACGTTTTTATAATAAGTATATAAAAAACCATTATTTTCATAAAGTTTGATGTAGAAGAGCGAGGAGTTATGCAGAAAATGCAGACATTATCATGAAGTGCGAGGTGGTTGACCTGCTCGGCGTAATAAAGCATTCCCACGTGTGTGTCCGTATGGTATACTCGTTCTTATGGAAATCACGCTATACAGCAGCCGAAGCACTGTTGCCTTTGGTTCTCGTTGCGCGCACCTGTTGAAACATCGTGTACAAATCCCTTCAAATTCTTTCGCCGGACAAAGTAGACGAAAAGAAGCGTGAAAACGCATCCACGTGAGAGCATTCGAAAGCTCTCCTCTATTAATAATCTGGCCAGGTGGCAAAGCTGATTTCTCGCGGCATCGCACCGACGCAGACATTTGCCTAACGGTTTTTATATTCATATGGCCATTAAACTTCCGGCGGCGAATCGTTAAAGTGCCGCGGTAGATTTCCGATAGCAGGCAGAGCAAAAGGGAAAGCCAGCGCTCGCGAGTGCGCGGACGAAGCGTCAGACTTCGTCAATACCATTCGTCAACGTGATCATCCCCGTGCGCGTTGGCTCGCGAGCAGCCACTGTTGCTCAATTATACGCGAGCATTTCAGACGCGCTCGGCTCGAGAAACCATTTTCGGTGACACGCGTCGGACGAGTCGTTGTATATTCCCTGTTGGTGGGTTTATCGAGCGAAGCGTCGGCTAATTTTTCAAAAATACCATTCGCGCTTAGAACGTCATCGCAAACGAATTTGACAAAACGGCGGTGTCAAAGTCAATCGAGTTGCCTCGGAGACCACGAAAACTGTCATTCGGCACCGAAGCCTCGCATGTCTTGCCACGAGTGCAAGCAAACACGACGCCGGTTTGTAAGATCAATCAAATGCTCGTAGGAATCTTGCGCGTTACGGACGGAAAGTCGTAATTTCGGTTAAGAACGACGCGATCGAAAGAGAACTTGGAATATTTTTTTATAAGGCACAGAGCAGCGTTAATTGGGGTTGCAGTAGCGCGTGAGAGTTTCACACGACGGAGAGCAGCTTCGTCTCTTCGCGCGCACTCGCCTGATTAGATACCCGCGCGCACAGGAAAGTCGTATAGGACGCTTTCACGCGCGTATGTATGTACAAAGCCACGATAAAAACTCGCATTCTACAACCTCTTACCAACTGTCTTACATCAGATTTGGAGCATTTTTGCGCGCTCGACCGAGCGATTGAGCGTAAAAAATTGCGCAAGCGCGCACCGCGCTCTTCAAGAAGACTTCGTTTTACAGCTGTTATGTGTCTGCCCCGTTTGCTCTTGCATGTTCGGTACGTCGAATAAAAGTCACAGCCTATGAAGAATCGAAAATCTTCACGAATAATGTTAAAAAATCGGAAGATTGATGGTGAAAAGTCCTCGCAAGACCACTGGAAAGTATATTTTTCAATCTCTCCCGCGAGTTTACCGCAGCGAGCGTACCTTTCAATGCAAGTGTTGCTAAATGAACATACACACTCGAGCTCGTTACTTATCCACATCAAGATAAACTGTCGCGACGTATTCACTGCCACTTCTCTCTCTCTCTCTCTCTCTCTCTCTCTCTCTCTCTCGCTCTTGGCGGACTTTCAAGCAAAAGATTATACGTGTATTTACAGTTATTGGGTCCTCCGCTGATTTTTTGTGGAGCAAGAGAAAGTGAGACCAGGGTGTACTCTTTTTTACAAGATCTCTCGTTCTCTTGATAATTTCAATGGTATAGAAAACACGCGAACTTTCTTACATACTTTAGGTTATCGTTTTGCTTGTGAATGTTGAAGTAAGTTGTCAGTTCGAAAACGGCTCACTTTTATATATTTTAATTGCTACTTGCGAAGCATTGCTATCACTGCACGTTCAGTCCTTTTGTATCCTGTTAACACACATCCGCGAAGGCCTACCTTTTTTAAATATTTTGCTTGAAAAAGTAGTGCAAAGCCATAATATTTTTCAAAAAGAAACAAGCACTCAAACGTTTTATGCCTTCGAACATCCACGTTCAGTTGGTTTTATTATGAGCAAACGTTAGTGCTCGCATGACTCGTGATGCATATTCGCAGTTGGAATGCGTCAGAAAGAAAAGTGACAAGGTAATCATTGTTAAAGAATAAGACATAGAAGCGATGGATTGAGAAAAGAAATGCACAGAGTTATTAATTTCGTATCGAATATCGCGACAAACACGTAATTGGCACGATAACAAGTTCAAGTTTGTCAGTTTATCCATGAATAAAGCGGTGCGCAGCAGTAACAGCCTGGCAGCTTTGTCGCCAATTTACTCGCTCGATGACTGCAAAGTTATAAAGACGATCGGGCTTGTAAAGCTGGCGGACGAGTTTATCGCGCGGAGCAAAAAAAGCTCAAGGATGTACGGCGCGGAAAATTAAATAAAAGATACGGCCTCGCGTCAGTGGAAATACCTTTGCGCGGCGCGACAAAACATCAGAACGAAAGTGCAGCGCAAGTTGAGCGCGTCCGCGGAGTTTCACAAATGATTAACGACTCGTGGTCTTAATTTGATTTAATGGCTGCGATCTCGATCGCCGCGCTCGTCCTCCCATTCCGCGCCTTTCGGATACGCTCGCTTCGCAGCTCCGGCAAATAACCCAATATTTCATCTGGACGTATCAAGCTAGACGCGCCAGGGCAGGCCGCTCGTTAAAAGTCTGCTGAATTTCTGGAAGCACTTTGTCCCCCTCGTCATACGCAAGACGATCACGGGTCACTTGGATCTTCTCTCGAGCTCAAGCTCCAGGCTATGTAGCCGGCAAAAGAGTTGCTTTCACTCGGAAGAAAAGCTCGCTAGTTTTTACGGTCCCCCATCGGAAAGTGATCGCGCGCGATTAATTTATGCCTTTCGAAGCCGTTCCCTTTCGTGAAACGCTTGAAAAACCGGAAAGCCGCATCCAGACGGAATTGAAGCCCGATCGCGCTTTCGTCGATTTCAACACGCAGATCGGAGAGAAAATATAATGGTATGCGTGATGCATCGGCGCGCCTTCGAAAGAGGAAAAAAGTAAACGACGTTGTGTTTTCTTGACACCTTTCTTCTCGATTTACAGCTTCCCACCTTTGCTATGCGTTAACGAGGATTTACAAAGAGCTTTAAGCTAGTCTAATTTAATCGTGCATTAGCTTGATCAAACGCGCCTTTACATTCCATTTAACTTTCGATTGCGACCACTTCACTCCGATAGAATGATCCCAGTTTGCAACATAGTAGCTTCAAAGCAGTCCTTTTTCTCGATTGCACGCACGCTTGGAATTATAAAATCCCACGAGGGACGATAAAACAGTTCAACTTGGTACGGGCGAAAGGTCAACTGTGTTATTGGGAATGCAGGTCACGCGCTCGCAACCAGGAGCTCGAAAAGGCCAGCACTTGAAGTCGGATTTAACTACGCGCGCGCGCGCGCGCGCTGCTTGCTCGTATCTTTTTATAAGTTTGGCAATTCTCCTGGTTATTTAAAGCTGTTTGGGCGACACTTGTGAGCTGACGAGTTTAAACCTAAAGCACTATGGTACACGAGTCATGTTAATTTTAAGCCTCTTCTGCAGTTTTACTGCGCTGTTTTCGAGACAAGTCGCCACAAAGTTGCTTTTACTCTTTTACTCGTTTTATACATACTATCTTCACTTTTGTCAGCAAAATCACTATATTTTTCTAACTTAACCCATTTTTTAACTTCCTGTAGATATAAGAAATCGATTTTTGTAGGGATTTTACGAAATTTCTTAACATCTAAGAGGCGTAATTATAGATGCAACATTATTCATTCAGTATTTCGTCCACTGAAATTTAACAGCGTTACTCAAGTTCATATGATTTACTTTGAGGGATTTAAAAAAAATCTGAGTTTCTTTAATTTCACGTGGGATCGAATTCAATAAAAATTTATTGATCGTCGCCTGTACATTATAAGCAAGCTTTTGATTCATGTTAATTCAATTGATGTTAACGGTGGCCCCTGATAAAAGAAGAATAAATTAGGAAGCAGTCCGTGCAAGCAGGAATTGGAGTAAATATACCGTTATGATCGTGTTGGTTTTGCGGGTGCAATCGATTAACGTCGATCGACTAATTGGAGGATCCCCGAACTTCCTTCTTTGTGGAGCCGATGCCCGCAGTAGCCATGACTGTATGGTTTGTCTCGTGCTATAATCATTCCTACCGGGATTCACGATAGATAGATATAACGAGAAAGAAAGCAGCGATATTGTGGTTATTTCGTAATTAATAGGTTTAGTTATGGATATTATTTTGTAAAAAAAATCGAATGGTAATCCGATAATCGTCGCACCGTTTCGAAATTATGATCGTTGATGGAAAAACCGAGTACGACGATCAGCGCTGTTGCAGTGACAGCGCGCACACTTTTAATCGATACTGCATTACCTTGCGTTTTAACGCCGGCAATCGCGTCTCGACAATCAATCAACCGCATTCTGCGTGCGTTGAGAAAAGCCAACGACGAATGCGCAAAAAGAGTAGCAGCAGCAGGTGTACGTAAGTGTCATTATCATCATCCTTACTCTCGCGGAAGCCGCGCACAGCGAAGGAAAGATGATGATAATTCTAATGTCGCGATTCGCCGCGCCTTGTTTTTGCCTCTCTCACGTTCACTAACGAGTCTATTACGCGCGGGCTTGACGAACCGAGTTACCACGTCGCGGAAGTAACGTGTCGCTCGCGCGCTTCGAGTCTGCGCGCATACATGCGCGATTGCAAGCTCGTTAATACCGCCGAGCGAATCCACAGCTCGTCTTCCTCTTGCTTTTCGAGACTCGAGCGCTCTGTGGTCGAATCTTCTCACGCGGCCGCCTCGTCGAGAGCTTGTCCACGAAGTCAGTGACGAAAAAGATGAAGAACTCTCGTCTACTCTTTGACACCAGCAGCAAA